GCTGCGTATTTTTCCCTCTCTGTGACCTAATGGAGACTTCCTGTGGAAGGAAATTTACAGACGCACATGGCATTTAGCATTCAACAGATGTAAAATTTCCTCCTTCAGGAATGAAGCTTCATGGTGGGTTCTGTTGGATGCAGCCCTGGCTGGCAGGAGTGAAGATGGCTCTCCTATAGCATCTCACCTGATGGTGCTGCCCTGTCCTAAATCCTTGGGAGCCACAGGAATATCAGTCATAAAGTTTTGGGGTGTAGAACCGTTTTGATCTCCACTGAGAGTCACCCCTAAGAAAACGCAGGAATCTTTACATCAGCTTTCTGCTAACTCGCCCATCCAAACTTTTGCCCTAGGTGCTTGCCTGGGAATAATCTAAGTCAGACATGTCAAACACAAGGCCCGGGGGTCAGATGCGGCCTGCGAAGTGGTTTCATGTGTTCCACAAAGCCATCTTGGAAACAGTGAGGGAATGGCCCCCACTGCCTTGGCCCTGGCCCAGGTCAGCTGGGAGCCAATGTACAATTTTGTGCTGCAGCTGGGCGCCCCCTTGGGGTAGTGGAGATGGGCTTGGTGCCGCAGGCGTTCGAGGGCCAGGCTGGGCATTTCACCTCTGCTGCCCAGGGTTGCCGGCAGCCTGCACCACCTTCCCCCCCCCCCCAAATGGCCTGAGAGGAACAGTGAGGCACCTCCAGTGGACCATGCCTTGGCAATTGCCCTGGTCCCACCCCCTTCAGCCAGAGACCCTCAGATCTGTCCCACTCCTGCACAGGCCCCCTTGATGCGAATGATGTAGAGCTGGCCATGCCCACTCAATAGGCCACACCCACTGTCCACGCCCACCCAGTAGGTCACACACCCCCAGGGCATCCACAATGCTGATGCTGCCCTCAATGAAATTGAGTTTGACACCCCTGATCTATCTCCTCTGGAAACTGGGAAGGCTGCTCAGACCTCCTCAGAGCAATTCTGTCCTCTAGGGAGATTTAGGCTCTGCAAGAATGAAGACAAAAAGGTATTACAGGGAGTCCTTGACATACAACCACAACTGAGCCAAAGTTTCTAAGCAAGATAGTTGTTAAGTGAGTTTTGCCCCATTTTATGGTGTTTTTTGCACAGTTGTTAAATGAATCTGGCTTCCCCATTATTTTTGCTTGTCAGAGGGTTGCAAAAAATGATCACATGACCCTACAACTGTCATAAAAACATGGCAGCTGCCAAACATCTGAATTTTATCACATGACCAAAGGGGTGCTGCAACAGTTGTAAGAATGAAAAACGGTCATAGACCACGTTTTTCATGGCCATTGTAACTTCAAACGGTCACTAAACAAATAGTTGTAAGTTGAGGACGGCCTGTAACTCCTGACTAGATGTAGTTGGGGACCAATATGGTAGCCTGCTTCCAGGTTTGTACCGTATTTCATTATTTTTATAGGATGAATTTGGCAATCATTTAGGGGCTCGACATCCAAACAAGTACAAAAGAAAATAATTCTTGGTATGATAAAAAAATATGAGATAGATGGAATCGTAACTGGCTAATCAGCAGCACTCCACATGCCATCTGCAATGGAACTAAATATATGTGGAGGACAGCATGCAGCGGGGTACCCCAAGGCTCTCTCTTAGGCCTAGTACTCTTCAATATCTTCATAAGTGATTAAGATGAAGGGAGAGAAGGGGGGAATAGCCAAACCTGGAACACTGGGCCCTTTAGAGGAAAATGCAATTCAGTGATGAAAAAAATGAGGTTTTACACTTGGGCATGAAAAACCAAACACACACCTATAAAAGAGTTTGGATATCTCCCAACAGCAGTAACTGTGAGAGGATCTATGATTCCCAGTGGACAATCACCTAAGTATGATCTAGCAATGTGATGCAGCAGCAGAAAAAGTGAGTGCAGTCCTGCTCTGCATCACCAGAAGGATAGTGTCAAGATCATATGGATTACTGCTGCACTTAAAATACTGCATGCAGGTTTGGGCACGATAAAAAAGATGTTGAGACTCTAGAAAAAGTGCAAAAAAGAGCAACAAAGATATTTAGTGGACTGAATGCTAAAACATCAGATGATCGGTTGTGTCTAATTTGACACAGAGAAGGACTAAGGGTGACCTGATAGCAGTCTTTCAGTATTTGAGGGGCTAACACATTAAGAGGGGGTCAACCTATTCCCCCATGTGCCTGAGAGCAGTAAAAGAAGTAACCGAAGGGAGACTTATCAAAAAAAGATCCAACCGAGAATTAAGGGGAAGGTTCCTGTCCGTGAAACCAATTAATCAGTGGAACAGCTTCCCTCTAAACGTTGCGAGTGCTCCATCCGTGGAGGTTTTTGAGAGGAGACTGGACAGCCATTTGTCCAGAATGGTGTAAGTAAGGTCTTTGCTTGGAGAGTTACAACTCTTAGTCTGCATTTCTGTTTGAACTTCACACACTTCTAGGGCTCAGCCTGGAGCTAATCTTTGCAAACTAAGAAGCATCGTCACTTTTCGCTGTTTCACTTGGCTCAGTTGCAAAGGACGGTCGCTGGGAGGCGGAAACGACCGGAGAGCAGATAAATCAGCGAAAACCTCTCTAGACGCCAAAGGCCGAGACGGGACAAGCGTGACTTCCGGCCTCCTATCGCGAGATGACGGTCAGATAGGCAGCATCTGCGACTAGAAAGCGGCATCTCCAGGGGTGGAGGGAAGAGGAGCTGCAACCATCGAGTACTGCATTGCTAGAAAGGAAGGGAGATGAGGAGAAGATCAGAGCAACTTCCTCTTCCGGATCGCTCAGGGGAGGAAGGAGGCGTGCCGGGAGGCTTTTGTGCTCTTCCCAGGGTCGAAGCAGCAGCTGGAAGGTGAGTCGAGGGCGCGTCGGAGGAGAAGCCGGGAGCAGGTCGGGCTGCTCGGTTCAGACGTTGCCCATCGCTGGGGAGGATCAGCCTCCCAGTGCCTGGAGGGGAGGAAGGGGAAGAGGACGGGGGAGCTCTGGGCTCAGAGGGAGCGTGGCTGAAGGCGAGGGCGGGAACCCTGCTAGGAGGAGGCCAGGGGCGTCTGGAAGGCGGGCGAGGGAGACCCGAGAGGCGTCCAGGTGGGCTTGGCCGTTGGGCAGCCCTGTCCAGGTGGGCTTCCTTTGGGATGCAGCTTCTGAATCTGCCTCTCTTACCTGCCCAGATTCCCTCTCTGGTGACTGCTGCATCCCTGTTTCTCTCTGCCTGTGTAAGTGAACAGCCCTGTCTGTAGAGGTTTTCAATTTAAATATTTCTTTTACGGTCTGAATAATCTACCCTGAAAAAGAAGCTTTTCACTGGTTTTTACAAACAGCTTTCCAAAGAGATCAAGGGGGTTCTGTGATAATATTCAGAAAGATAACAGAATTTCCGGTCAAGGGACAGACCTGGGAGCTCCAATAACTCCCTGCAGGGCATTTTGGGGAAGAGAGACTGGTATGCAGAAGAGCCAGTTTATTGTTTGGGCTGCAGAGGCTTCAGTTGTGGGACTAAAATGCCGCATGGAGAGCTTGTGTTTACATGATGGCACTCTTTCAAAATTGGAGGGGGTGTCACATAGAAGGAAGGATTGACCTTTGCGCCAAAGTGTCGTAGAGCAGAACAGGAAGTAACAGATGGAGTCTAGAATTAGGAGAAAGTTCCTGTCAGTGAGAACAATTAATGAAACAGCTTGCCTCCAGACGTTATGGGTGTTTCATCACTGGAGGTTTTTAAGAAGAGATTGGACAGCCATTTGTCAAGAATAATATAGGTTTCCTATCTAAGCAGGGGGTTGGACTAGAAGACCTCCGAGATCACTTTCAACTCTCATTATTCTCTTATGGACCTGCTGTTTTCTTGGCAACAATGTCAGACTGAAACTGCCACTATTTTTTTCTGGGATTTTTCACTTCTATTTATAGCTAACACGCACAGTATTTCCTATTGGCACCCCATACTTGTATTAATGATGTTCAACTGTGATTAAGCCAGCACTTCTGAAAGAATAGCTATGGAAGACCTTTCAGGATGTTCAGTTGTATAAGTTGTCCTCATTTACCACTTCCTCATTGGGCCTATGATTATGAAAATGCAGGAAAAGGGAGTTGCACCAATTTGGATGTTGTGAATTGTTGCGTGTTTATGGTGGTTGCAGTATCCCACATTCATGATCCCCATCTGTGACCTTCTCAGCTAGCTTCTTACAAGCAAAATCAATGGGTATACCGGCAGGAAATTACAAGACACAGTCACGTGAAATTGCCTTTAACGACGCATGGTGATTTGCTTAGCAAGTCCAGAGGAAAAGATGTAAGTTGGCATTATCATGCTAACATCATACTTAATGATCAGGCTGCTTAATGACACAGATGCCAGTCCCAATTGCAGTCATTAAGTAAGGAGTACTTCAATTAGGATGTCAGCAGAGGGATTGTGGAGAGTAGTTTTTCCCCTTTTTTGTGGTCAAGGAGTTCCATGTGCAAATCTTGCAGAGGCTTTGGGCATCATTTCATCATTTAAAGCCCCCACACCTCTAAAAATTAGTTTCAGGTTGAAAACATGAATTTTCCACATAGATATAATTATAGGTATGTGCATTTATATTACTTTTTCCATATATCTACAATTGTATACTCTATACCCGAGACTTGCAGATTTATTTTATGATAACCCTTAGTAGTGCTTAGAATTTATGGTTGATGCAAGTGAGGGGAATTTCATGATTGAACGGATATCTGAAGTTGGATCTCTGGAATGTCCGATGAATCATAATTAATGTAAGAGGTTAGCATTGTGGCATGTTTGCTTTTTAAATGTAATGTATATTTTTTCCTTTTTTGACATCTGCAAGCATTGTATAAACAATTAAACTTACACTTTTCTTTAAATCTTACAGACAAAGGATGTGGCAATAAGAGCACTCTGGAGAAGTGAGAATAACTTTTGAAAAGGAAAGCAAATCAAGCCAGAAATCAAAATATTTTCCATTTCCTTCAGAAAATTACACAATTCTCCTATCCCAGCAGGTAAAAGGCAGGAGAAAATCAAGAAGAGATTTCAAGCTGGAAATAGAGTATGCGGAACACAAGGATAGGTTACATGACAAGGTGAAGGGGATCATTTTTCCATTCAGAAAAAGAGGGAAATATTTGGAAGTCTGTGGGGAAGAAAAGGTCAATTGGTTACTTAAATAGGGCAGACAGCAATGCAGAACTCCCAATGGGAGGAAAGAAACAGGTGAAATCAAAGCACCACTAAACAAGGGACCACACACATTTTTGACTTCCTCAAGCATATCGGTGGATTGCAAAAGTATAGGTGATTATGTAGAAGAGGATCCAAACTGGAATAAAGGCATACAAATGCTACTAATGTAACAAAATCTTTGGTCAGAATATCTCCTTTCCACACAGGACAGATGCCCTATAAGTGCTCCCAATGTGGTAAATGCTTTACCAAGCAAAATAATTCACACAGGAGAGAAACTATAGGAGCGTCCAGTTTGTGAAAAAAAGTTCCCCTGTAAATTACTATCTGGTAAAACACAAGATGACTCACACCGGAGAGAAACCTTTTGAATTTTTGGATTGTGGGAAACGTTTCAGTTTCAGTTCCAAACTAGTAAAACACCAGAAGACTCACACAGGAGAGAAAACCTTTGCATGTCCGGATTGTGGGAAATGTTACAGGCAGAATTCCAGCCTGGTGACACACCGGAGGACTCACACTGGAGAGAAACCCTTTGAATGTCCTGAGTGTGGGAAATCTTTCATAGATAAGTCCAGCCTAGTGAGCCACCAGACGACACACACAGGAGAGAAACCATATGAGTGTGCACTCTGTGGGAAAAGTTTCAGCAAGAATTCCAACCTGGTGAACCACCAGAGGAATCATACAGGAGAGAAACCCTTTAAATGTTCGGATTGTGGGAAACGGTTCAGTTTCAGTTCTAAACTGGTAAGACATCAGAGGGCTCACACAGGAGAGAAACCTTTTGAATGTCTGGATTGTGGGAAATGTTACAGCCAGAGTTCCAGCCTGGTGACACACCAGAGGACTCACACTGGAGAGAAACCCTTTGAATGTCCTGAGTGTGGGAAATCTTTCATACATAATTCCAGCTTGGTGAGCCACCAGATGACGCACACAGGAGAGAAACCGTATGAGTGTGCACTCTGTGGGAAAAGTTTCAGCAAGAATTCGAGCCTGGTGAACCACCAGAGGACTCATACAGGAGAGAAACCCTTTGAATGTCTGGACTGTGGGAAATGTTACAGCCAGAGTTCCAGCCTGGTGATACATCAGAGCACTCACACAGGAGAGAAACCCTTTGCATGTCCGGATTGTGGGAAATGTTACAGCCAGAATTCCAGCCTGGTGACACACCGGAGGACTCACACAGGAGAGAAACCCTTTGAATGTCTGGATTGTGGGAAACGTTTCAGTTTCAATTCCAACCTGGTAATACATCAGAGGACTCACACAGGAAAGAAACCATTTGAATGTCTGGACTGTGGGAAATGTTACAGCCAGAGTTCCAGCCTGGTGATACACCAGAGCACTCACACAGGAGAGAAACCCTTTGAATGTCCTGAATGTGGGAAACGTTTCAGTTTCAGTTCTATCTTGTTGAGACACCAGAGGACTCACACAGGAGAGAAACCCTTTGAATGTTCGTATTGTGAGAAATCTTTCAGACACAATTCCACCCTGGTGATACACCAGAGGACTCATACAGGAGAGAAAACCTTTGCATGTCCGGATTGTGGGAAATGTTACAGCCAGAATTCCAGCCTGGTGACACACCGGAGGACTCACACAGGAGAGAAACCCTTTGAATGTCCGGATTGTGGGAAACGTTTCAATTTCAGTTCCAACCTGGTGAGACACCAGAGGATTCACACAGGAGAGAAACCCTTTAAATGTTCGGATTGTGGGAAATCTTTCATATACCATTCCAGCCTGGTGGTACACCAGAGGACTCACACAGGAGAGAAACCCTTTAAATGTTCGGATTGTGGGAAATCTTTCAAACACTATTCCAGCCTGGTTATACACCAGAGAACTCACAAAGGAGAAAAGCCCTTTAAATGTCCTGATTGTGGGAAATCTTTCAATGTGAATTTCAACCTGCTGAGACATCAGAGGACGCATACAGGGGAGAAACCGTAAAAGTGTCCAGATTTTGGAAAAGATTTCAGTATTAGTCACACAGGGGAGAAACATTTGAAATGTCCAATCTGTGAACGATTCTTCAGGTGTAAATCATCTCTTATTGCACACAAGGAAGTGCACATGAAGCAAACAATGATGAGTTTAGAGAAATGTTGAATTTCATTTCTGATTTCCCATTGAAGAGTATAAGTGAGAAATTGACTACTTCAGTTCTGGCTTGATTCTTTTTAGTCAACAGATCTCCGGATTAAACCTGAAGGTGGAGCAAAAAAATATGGAAAATATTAGTTTGATATAGACTAACTACCTATTTCTGATTATCAGCAGTAGTTTCTGGATGTTTCTGTTTGCAGAAGATGTGAAATTCCCCGGCTAGTGTAGAGTTAATCTTTGGGATACAACTGTAATGGTACCTACCGATTATGGTTGGGAGACTGCTTTGCTTAACTACCCCTGTCCCTGCTGTTCCTGATGCAGCCTTTAAATGAATGTGCAAGTCATTCAACAACACTGGCTGCCTCACTGTTGGGGGAAACTCTTGGTAGTCCTCGATTTACAGCTGTAATTTAGCCTGCAATTATAGTCGTAAATCAAGAGGGTCATTAATGGGTCATCACACAATGTGCTCCGTTTTATAACCTATTTTGTGGCAGCACAGAAGGAAGTGCACATGAGGCAAACATTGATGAGTTTAGAGAAATCTTGAATTTCATTTCTGATTTCCCATTGGGAGTTTAGAAATTCTGGCCTGATTCTTTTTAGTCAATACATCTTAGAATTAGACTTCTGGTGTAGAGGGGAAAAATGGAAATTGTTAACTTGATAAAGGCTAACGAGCTGTTTCTAATTATCAGCAGATGTTTCTGGATGTTTCCTTTTATAGAACTTGTGGAATTCCTCAAACAGGGTTTTCTGTAGTAGAGTTTTGTGTGGTGTTTTTTGTATATTGATTATGAAAATCCAACATACGGAGTTTCAGCCTTCTTTGTTGTGCTCCAGATTTTGATCCCTACATTTTTCCTGCCAGCATACCAGTAATCCTCAGTTACAACTGTAATGGGGTCTGTCAGTTACGGTTGTACATTGCAAAAGCCATGAAGTGAGACTGGTTTGGTTAATTACCTCCACCCTCCGTGATGCAGCCATTAAACAGATGTGCAACTTGCTAAGTTGAACACTAGCAACCCCACTGTTCAGGGAAGGCCTAGACTGCCTCTCCACCCCCCCCCAGCTATTCCTGGGGCTCCCCCATTCACAAGACACCTTGTGCTCTGCTTCCCAACCCTTGGTTCCCCCAGAGCTTTTCCTCCCTTACAGGGCCCCACCAGGCTTTTCTCCCGCCCCACGGTCCCCACAGGTATTTCCCCCATGGTACCCCTGGCCTCCCCCCCACAGTATTTGGGGGGCTGCCACAAAGAAGACGGGGTCAAATTATTTTCCAAAGCACCAGAGGGCAGGACAAGAAACAACAGTTGGAAACTAATCAAAGGGAGAAGCAACCTGGAATTAAGGAGAAAATTCCTAATGGTGAGGGTAATTAAGCAGAGTGTTATGTGCTCCAGGCTACTTTCCTTCATGACCAGAGGGAAGCTCACCTGACCAATAACCAGCTAAGGCCTTTTATTTCATTTATTGCAATAAGCGAGGAGAGAAGCTAGCAAAGCTTGGTTCTCTCCAAAGTTCCAATCTGAACTATTCCTTCTTTATACAACCCTGTCATTGCCACCACATCCCTCCTCGTTCCCCGTTGTAATTTCTTTGGTAAGCTTGTTTGTCTATTTCAGTACGTTTCCATTGTACAGCAGATTCTATTTTAAATTTTTCTTTCAGTATTAAATTTTGAAGACCTTTCATTCACTTCTATCAAGATGAACAGCTTGCCTTCAGAAATCGTGGGTGCTCCATCACTGGAGGTTTTTAAGAAGAGACTAGATAGTGACTTATCTGGAATGGTATAGGTCCGTGGTGGCAAACCTATGGAAACCATGCTGTGGGCACGTGCACCGTCGTCCAGGCCCTTCAGCTGGGTTTTCTAAAAGCTTTTCGCTTTAGGCCTCCACCGCCATGTGGAAAGAAAAAAAGGTTCAATCAATCAATTTTAACTTCTCCTAGGAAAAAATAGTTCTCGCAAAGTTGGACTTGATTGATTGAATTTTTTAATCCCCCCCAGTCTACCGTTACCACCGCAGCCATGCCCACCATATGGGCCACGCCCACCCAATGGGCCATGCCCAATCAGCACCCAACGATACATAAGTGGGGTTTGGTTGCAGTTTGGGCACTCAGTCTCTAAAACGTTAGCCGTCACTGGTATAGGTTCTGCTTTAGCAGGGGGCTGGACTAGAAGAGCTCCAAGGTCCCTTCCAGTTCTATTCAAGATTGCTTCTTTAGTGGGTCTTTTGTATATATGTTTGTGAAGTGCTACCCTCAAAAGGGCCACAAGAGTCTAGATCCCTTTCCACTTGGCCAGTTGATGTCTTCCCGCCCTCAGTCACTGGTCCAAATTCTCAGAGTCTCTCACTCTGTGCTTCCTCCTGACTTTCAGCCTGTTATTGTCCCTCCAGAACAATTCACCTCCCCTGTCCTTCTGTGGAGCTGCTCTTCTCCCTTTCAACTCCATTAGGGTGGGAGGGCGGGAAGCCTGGCTCGCTTACTCTGGATCAGCTTCGCTCTTTTCCTCCCCTTCTCTCTCCCTCTCCCTCAGGCCTCTCCCTCCTCACATGCAGCCCCACCCAGCAGGTGGGGGCAGGGCAGGCTGATCAACCCTTCCCTCCCTCTCTCCTCAGGCCTCTGCTTGCTTTGCTTCCTTCTCCGCTGCTCTCCCTGTCTCTCTTTCCTCTCTTCTCCCCCTCACGCCATGCAGCAGGCCATCCCTCCGTCCCTACTACATTGGTAAAGGAGCCATTCCATTTTTTCCTCTTGTTCTTATTTTTGCTTTAAAGTCATATTTTACAACAGTACAGTTTCTGAGGAAACTGCTGACAGAAATCCTGAGGGTCGGGTGCTTCTCCCAAAGCTTCTCTTTGTGAAACTACAAGCTACACACAGTAAGGAGCTTCAGTGCAGAGTCAGTTGGTGACCAAATAGAGGTGCCAACCCGTACAGAGATGAAAATACATAACAGCTGCTTGAAACCTCCTTCAGCACGAAACAATTAAATGTGTTGCTGCCAATCAAACAAGAAGGAGAAACTGTCCTTTGGGGCCTCCTCCCCTTGACTGTCAGGATCTCTCTCCATTTTAAATCTCTAAAAATGACTGCAACTGTTGGTAGTAGTTAGGAAAGGAGGTTCCCTCAATAAGGCGGGCATTGTGGTGTAGAGCTTCATTGTGGCGTCCGATGTCTCCTGTGATTAATTTCATTTTATCCTTGGGGAACGTCTAATTATATTGGCAGAAAGGAAAATAATCAAGAAGAGAAGGAACTTGGAATTAAGGAGAAACTTTCTAATGTGAGGACAATGAACCAGTGGAACAGCTTCCTTTCAGAAATTGCAGATGCTTCCATCACTGGAGGGTTTTAAAAAAAGAAGAGACAGCCACCTGCCTAAAATGGTATATTCTGATTGCTTGAGCAGGGGATTGACTAGAAGACCTCTAATGTCCCTTCAAGCTCTATTCTGATTGATTGAATTAAGTGCACAGCAGAAATAAATACTAACTGAATTTCAATATACAAAGTAGACACATTAAAACCGACAGAAGGAAACTAGCAGAATAACCCCCCCCCAAAAAAACCTACTTTTACAGTAATAACAGACTCCACAAAACGTACTAACACTATGTGGCTAACAAAACTGAGCGAAATAAAAGACACCCCAAAGGCAGAGGAGCTGCTACACAGGGCCAGGCCAGAAGCCACCAGTCCCCAATCAGAGGAACGCTCCATTTCCTGAACAGAAAAGTCTAAAGCTCAGATTGAAAGATGAAAAATGTCCGTTATCTGGAGAGTAAGGGGGAGCCGAGTTCAAAGAGGTTGGACTGGATCTTGAAAACTGCAGCGTTGAATTTTATGTTGGAGAAACAGGAAGAGGTCAAATGTGTGGATTCTACGGGGAGGAAGAAGATCCAGGTGGGTGTGCTGGTAAAGGCACCACAGTAGAGACTGGGAAATGCTCAGTTCCAGTCCTGCCTTACCTGCTAAGCCATCTGTGCAACTTTGGCCAATCCTACCAGGCCTATGCCTAAGCAGGAATCCACTTGAGTGACTTGAAGGTATCAGAAACACTCCTGGCCTTTCCCGGAAGGTTGGGCACCGCCGTTCCAACGTTCCCCTGTGGCTGCTGGGGAGGATCAGCCTCCCAGTGCCTGGAGGGGAGGAAGGGGAAGAGGACGGGGGAGCTGTGGGCTCAGAGGGAGCGTGGCTGAAGGCGAGGGCGGGACCCCTGCTAGGATGAGGCCAGGGGCGTCTGGAAGGAGAGGCGTCCAGGTGGGCTTGGCCGATGGGCAGCCCTGTCCAGGTGGGCTTCCTTTGGGATGGAGCTCCTGAATCTGCCTCTCTTACATGCCCAGATTCCCTTTCTGGTGACTGATGCGTCCCTGTTTCTCTCTGCCCTTGTCAGGGAACAGCCCTGTATGGAGAGTCTTTCAATATTAATTTTAGTTGTGGGTCTTTCATCAATGGAGGTTTTTAAGAAGAGATTGGACAGCCATTTGTCAAGAATAATATAGGTTTCCTATCTAAGCAGGGGGTTGGACTAGAAGTCCCCTGAGGTCCCTTTCAACTGTCACTATTCTCTTGTGGACCTGCTGTTTTCTTGGCAACAATGTCAGACTGAAATCCTCCACTATTTTTTTCTGGGATTTTTATTTTTTCACTTCTATTTATGGCTAACACGCACAGTATTTCCTATTGGCACCCCATACTTCTATTAATGAGGTTCAACTGTGCTTAAGCCAGCACTTCTGAAAGAATAGCTATGGAAGAACTTTCAGGATGTTCAGTTGTATAAGTTGTCCTCATTTACCACTTCCTCATTGGGCCTATGATTATGAAAATGCAGGAAAAGGGAGTTGCACCAATTTGGATGTTGCGAATTGTTGCGTGTTTATGGTGGCTGCAGTATCCCACATTCAGGATCCCCATCTGTGACCTTCTAAGCTAGCTTCTTACAAGCAAAATCAATGGGTATACCGGCAGGAAATTACAAGCCACAGTAATGTGAAATTGCCTTTAACAACTCATGGTGATTTGCTTAGCAAGTCCAGAGGAACAGATGTAAATTGGCATTATCATGCTAACATCATACTTAATGTTCGGGCTGCTTAATGACACAGATGTCAGTCCCAATTGCAGTCATTAAGTAAGGAGTACTTCAATTAGGATGTCAGCAGAGGGATTGTGGAGAGTAGTTTTTCCCCTTTTTTGTGGTCAAGGAGTTCCATGTGCAAATCTTGCAGAGGCTTTGGGCATTATTTCATCATTTAAAGTCCCCACACCTCTAAAAATTAGCTCAGAAGGTTTGACAGTAATCTTTTTTTCTTTTTCAGGTTGAAAACATGAATTTTCCACATAGATATAATTATAGGTATGTGCATTTATATTACTTTTTCCATATATCTACAATTGTATACTCTAGACCTCAGACATGCAGATTTATTTTATGATAACCCTTAGCAGTGCTTAGAATTTATGGTTGATGCAAGTGAGGGGAATTTCATGATTGAATGGATATCTGAAGTTGGATCTCTGGAATGTCCGATGAATCATAATTAATGTAAGAGGTTAGCATTGTGGCATGTTTGCTTTTTAAATGTAATGTATATTTTTCCCTTTTTTCACATCTGCAAGCCTTGTATAAACAATTAAACTTACACTTTTCTTTGAATCTTACAGACAAAGAGGATGGCAATAAGAGCACTCTGGAGAAGTGAGAATAACTTTTGAAAAGGAAAGCAAATCAAGCCCGAAATCAAAATATTTTCCATTTCCTTCAGAAAATTACACAATTCTTCCATCCTATCAGGCAAAAGGCAGGAGAAAATCAAGAAGAGATTTCAAGCTGGAAATAGTAGAGTATGTGGAATACAAGGATAGGTTACGTGACAAGGTGAAGGGGATCATTTTTCCATTTAGAAAAAGAGGGAAATATCTGGAAGTCAGTGGGGAAGAAAAGGTCAATTGGATACTCAAATAGGGCAGACAGCAATGCAGAACTCCCAATGGGAGGAAAAAACAGGTGCTATCAAAGCACCACTAAACAAGGAACCACACACATTTTTGACTTCCTCCAGCATATCGGTGGATTGCAAAAGTATAGGTGATTATGTAGAAGAGGATCCAAACTGGAATAAAGGCATACAAATGCTACTAATGTAACAAAATCTTTGGTCAGAATATCTCCTTTCCACACAGGACAGATGCCCTATAAGTGCTCCCAATGTGGTAAATGGTTTACCAAGCAAAATAATTCACACAGGAGAGAAACCATAGGAGTGTCCAGTTTGTGTGAAAGGTTTCATTGCAAATTCTCACCTGGGGAAACACCAGAGGACTCACACAGGAGAGAAACCCTTTGAATGTCCTGATTGTGGGAAATCTTTCATACACTATTCCAGCTTGGTGATACACCAGAGGACTCACAAAGGAGAGAAACCCTTTAAATGTCCTGATTGTGGGAAATCTTTCAATGTAAATTACTATCTGGTAAAACACAAGATGACTCACACCGGAGAGAAACCTTTTGAATGTTCGGATTGTGGGAAACGTTTCAGTTTCAGTTCCAAACTAGTAAAACACCAGAGGACTCACACAGGAGAGAAACCCTTTGCATGTCCGGATTGTGGGAAATGTTACAGCCAGAATTCCAGTCTGGTGACACACCGGAGGACTCACACAGGAGAGAAACCCTTTGAATGTCCTGAATGTGGGAAACGTTTCAGTCAGAATTCCAGCCTAGTGAAACACCAGAAGACTCACACAGGAGAGAAACCCTTTGAATGTCCTGATTGTGGGAAATGTTTCAGTGTTAGTTCCCACCTGGAGAAACACCAGATGACTCACACCGGAGAGAAACCCTTTGAATGTCCTGAGTGTGGGAAATCTTTCATACATAATTCCAGCCTAGTGAGCCACCAGACTACGCACACAGGAGAGAAACCGTATGAGTGTGCACTCTGTGGGAAAAGTTTCAGCGGGAATTCCAACCTGGTGAACCACCAGAGGACTCATACAGGAGAGAAACCCTTTAAATGTTCGGATTGTGGGAAATCTTTCATACTCTATTCCAGCCTGGTGATACACCAGAGGACTCACACAGGAGAGAAACCCTTTGAATGTCCTGAATGTGGGAAACGTTTCAGTTTCAGTTCCATTCTGTTGAGACATCAGAGGACTCACACAGGAGAGAAACCCTTTGAATGTCCAGATTGTGGGAAACATTTCAGTTTCAGTTCCAACCTGGTAAGACATCAGAGGACTCACACAGGAGAGAAAACATTTGAATGTTCAGATTGTGAGAAATCTTTCAGACACAATTCCACCCTGGTGATACACCAGAGAACTCACACAGGAGAGAAACCCTTTGAATGTCCTGATTGTGGGAAAAGTTTCAGTCAGAATTCCCACCTGGTGACACATCAGAGGACTCACACAGGAGAGAAACCCTTTGAATGTCCAGATTGTGGGAAATGTTACAGCCAGAGTTCCAGTCTGGTGACACACCAGGAGACTCACACTGGAGAAAAGCCCTTTGAATGTCCTGATTGTGGGAAAGGTTTCAAGAAAAGTTCTAACCTGGTGAAACACCAGAGTACACACACAGGAGAGAAATCCTTTGAATGTCCTGATTGTGGGAAAAGTTTCAGTCAGAATTCCCGCCTGGTGACACACCAGAGGACGCACACAGGTGAGAAACCCTTTGAATGTCCTGATTGTGGGAAATGTTTCAGTTTCAGTTCCAACCTGGTGAGACACCAGAGGACTCACAAAGGAGAGAAACCCTTTAAGTGTCCAGATTGTGGGAAATCTTTCAATGTGAATTTCAACCTGGTGAGACATCAGAGGACGCATACAGGGGAGAAACCGTAAAAGTGTCCAGATTTTGGAAAAGATTTCAGTATTAGTCACACAGGGGAAAAACATTTGAAATATCCAATCTGTGAATGATTCTTCAGGTGTAAGTCATCTCTTATTGCACACAAGGAAGTGCACATGAAGCAAACAATGATGAGTTTAGAGAAATGTTGAATTTCATTTCTGATTTCCCATTGAAGAGTATAAGTGAGAAATTGACTACTTCAGTTCTGGCTTGATTCTTTTTAGTCAACAGATCTCCGGATTAAACCTGAAGGTGGAGCAAAAAAATATGGAAAATATTAGTTTGATATAGACTAACTACCTATTTCTGATTATCAGCAGTAGTTTCTGGATGTTTCTGTTTGCAGAAGATGTGAAATTCCCCGGCTAGTGTAGAGTTAATCTTTGGGATACAACTGTAATGGTACCTACCGATTATGGTTGGGAGACTGCTTTGCTTAACTACCCCTGTCCCTGCTGTTCCTGATGCAGCCTTTAAATGAATGTGCAAGTCATTCAACAACACTGGCTGCCTCACTGTTGGGGGAAACTCTTGGTAGTCCTGGTAGTCCTCGATTTACAGCTGTAATTTAGCCTGCAATTATAGTCGTAAATCAAGAGGGTCATTAATGGGTCATCACACAATGTGCTCCGTTTTATAACCTATTTTGTGGCAGCACAGAAGGAAGTGCACATGAGGCAAACATTGATGAGTTTAGAGAAATCTTGAATTTCATTTCTGATTGGGAGTTTAGAAATTCTGGCCTGATTCTTTTTAGTCAATACATCTTAGAATTAGACTTCTGGTGTAGAGGGAAAAAAATGGAAATTATTAACTTGATAAAGGCTAACGAGCTGTTTCTAATTATCAGCAGACGTTTCTAGATGTTTCCTTTTATAGAACTTGTGGAATTCCTCAAACAGGGTTTTCTGTAGTAGAGTTTTGTGTGGTGTTTTTTGTATATTGATTATTAAAATTCAACATACGGAGTTTCAGCCCTCTTTGTTGTTCTCCAGATTTTGATCCCTACATTTTCCCTGCCAGCATACCAGTAATCCTCAGTTACAAAAGCCATGTAGTGAGACTGGTTTGGTTAATTACCTCCACCCTCCGTGATGCAGCCATTAAACAGATGTGCAACTCGCTAAGTGGAACACTAGCAACCCCACTGTTCAGGGAAGACCTAGACTGCCTCTCCACCCCCCCCCCAGGTATTCCTGGGGCTCCCCCATTCACAAGACACCTTGTGCTCTGCTTCCTAACCCTTGGTTCCCCCAGAGCTTTTCCTCCCTTACAGGGCCCCACCAGGCTTTTCTCCCGCCCCACGGTCCCCACAGGTATTTCCCCCATGGTACCCCTGGCCTCCCCCCCACAGTATTTGGGGGGCTGCCACAAAGAAGATGGGGTCAAATTATTTTCCAAAGCACCAGAGGGCAGGACAAGAAACAACGGTTGGAAACTAATCAAAGGGAGAAGCAACCTGGAATTAAGGAGAAAATTCCTAATGGTGGGGATAATTAAGCAGAGTGTTATGTGCTCCTGGCTACTTTCCTTCATGACCAGAGGGAAGCTCACCTGACCAATAACCAGCTAAGGCCTTTTATTTCATTTATTGCAATAGCAAAGCTTGGTTCTCTCTAAAGTTCCAATCTGAACTATTCCTTCTTTATACAACCCTGTCATTGCCGCCACATCCCTCCTCGTTCCCCGTTGTAATTTCTTTTGTAAGCTTGTTTGTCTATTTCAGTACGTTTCCATTGTACAGCAGATTCTATTTTAAATTTTTCTTTCAGTATTAAATTTTGAAGACCTTTCATTCACTTCTGTCAAGATGAACAGCTTGCCTTCAGAAATCGTGGGTGCTCCATCACTGGAGGTTTTTAAGAAGAGACTAGACAGTGACTTATCTGGAATGGTATAGGTCAGTGGTGGCAAACCTATGGAAACCATTCTGTGGGCACGTGCGCCGTCGTCCAGGGCTTTCAGCTGGGTTTTCTAAAAGCTTTTCGCTTTAGGCCTCCACCGCCATGTGGAAAGAAAAAAAGGTTCAATCAATCAATTTTAACTTCTCCTAGGAAAAAATAGTTCTCGCAAAGTTGGAATTGATTGATTGAATTTTTTAGTCCCCCCCAATCTACTGTTACCACCGCAGCCATGGCCACCATATGGGCCACGCCCACCCAATGGGCCATGCCCAATCAGCACCCAACGATACATAAGTGGGGTTTGGTTGCAGTTTGGGCACTCAGTCTCTAAAACGTTAGCCATCACTGGTATAGGTTCTCCTGCTTTAGCAGGGGGCTGGACTAGAAGAGCTCCAAGGTCCCTTCCAGTTCTATTCAAGATTGCTTCTTTAGTGGGTCTTTTGTATATATGTTTGTGAAGTGCTACCCTGAAAAGGGCCACAAGAGTCTAGATCCCTTTATCCCTTTCCACTTGGCCAGTTGGTGTCTTCCCGCCCTCAATCACTGGTCCAAATTCTCAGAGTCTCTCGCTCTGTGGTTCCTCCTGACTTTCAGCCTGTTATTGTCCCTCCAGAACAATTCACCTCCCCTGTCCTTCTGTGGAGCTGCTCTTCTCCCTTTCAACTCCATTAGGGTGGGAGGGCGGGAAGCCTGGCTCGCTTACTCTGGATCAGCTTCGCTTTTTTTCCTCCCCTTCTCTCTCCCTCTTCCTCAGGCCTCTCCCTCCTCACATGCAGCCCCACCCAGCAGGTGGGGGCAGGGCAGGCTGATCAACCCTTCCCTGCCTCTCTCCTCAGGCCTCTGCTTGCTTTGCTTCCTTCTCTGCTGGTCTCCCTGTCTCTCTTTCCTCTCTTCTCCCCCTCACGCCATGCAGCAGGCCATCCCTATTACATTTGTAAAGGAGGCATTCCGTTTTTTCCTCTTGTTCTTATTTTTGCTTTAAAGTCATATTTTGCAACAGTACAGTTTCTGAGCAAACTGCTGACAGAAATCCTGAGGGTCAGGTGCTTCTCCCAAAGCTTCTCTTTGTGACACTACAAGCTACACACAGTAGGGAGCTTCAGTGCAGAGTCAATTGGTGACCAAATAGAGGTGCCAACCCGTACAGAGATGAAAATACGTTAACAGCTGCTTGAAACCTCCTTCAGCACTAAACAATTAAATGTGTTGCTGCCAATCAAACAAGAAGGAGAAACTGTCCCTTGGGGCCTCCTCCCCTTGACTGTCAGGATCCCTCTCCATTTGAAATCTCTGAAAATGACTGCAACTGTTGATAGCAGTTAGGAAAGGAGGTTGCATGCATTTCCCTCAATAAGGCAGGCATTGTGATGTAGAGCTTCATTGTGGCGTCCGATGTCTCCTGTGATTAATTTCATTTTATCCTTGGGGAACGTCTAATTATATTGGCAGAAAGGAAAATAATCAAGAAGAGAAGGAACTTGGAATTAAGGAGGAACTTTCTAATGTGAGGACAATGAACCAGTGGAACAGCTTCCTTTCAGAAATCGCAGATGCTTCCATCACTGGAGGGTTTTAAAAAAAGAAGAGACAGCCACCTGCCTAAAATGGTATATTCTGATTGCTTGAGCAGGGGATTGGACTAGAAGACATCTAATGTCCCTTCAAGCTCTATTCTGATTGATTGATTGATTGAATTAAGTGCACAGCAGAAATAAATACTAACTGAATTTCAATATACAAAGTAGACATTAAAACAGACAGAAGGAAACTAGCAGAATAACCCCCCCCCCAAAAAACTACTTTTACAATAATAACAGACCCCACAAAACGTACTAACACAATGTGGCTAACAAAACTGAGTGAAATAAAAGACAACCCAAAGGCAGAGGAGCTGCTACACAGGGCCAGGCCAGAAGCCACCACTTCCCAATCAGAGGAACGCTCCATTTCCTGAAAAGAAAAGTCCAAAGCTCAGATTGAAAGACATTATCTGGAGAGTAAGGGGGAACCCATTGCAAACGTGTTGGACTGGATCTTGAAAGCTACAGCCTTGAATTTGCTGTTGGAGCAATAGAAAGAGGTCAAATGGGTAGATTCTGTGTGGAGGAAAAAGATCCAGGTTGGTTTAGTGGTAAAGGCACCAGGGTAGAGACTGGGAAATGCTCAGTTCCAGTCCTGCCTTACCTGCTAAACCATCTGTGCAACTTTGGCCAATCCCACCAGGCCTATGCCTAAAAAAGAAAGGAGGAATCCACTTGACTTGACTTGACTGACTTGAAGACATCAAAAACAAATATCCGGTATAAAGTTCAGGGGCGCTGAACTTAAATTACACTATGCCACACTGGAAATGCTTTGTATGCCGTCATGAGTTCTTCAGTGAAAAAGGGAATCAATGAAATATATGTTGCGGTTTTTTTATTCCAGATTCCTCCATGCAAGAGAACTCGGAGCCAATAGCTGAAATAGTCACTATCACCATCCATTCCTTATTAGACCTGCATGAAAAATGGCAGTGCACGGTGTCCCTCTAAAAAGTTTAGCCTGGTGATCAGTCAGCCATGCGCTTTGGCAGGATATTCTATTCTTCTCTTGTATTTTCTTTTTAAAAATGTAGTTTCAAAACATTTATTCTCCCATATGTAGACAATCAATCCCTCTTTCCTAGGTCCCATTTTCTAGGCCAGTGGTTCTCAACCTGTGGGTCGGGACCCCATTTGGGGTCGAGTGACCATTTCATGGGGGTCGCCAAACCACGCTGTCCACCATTTTTTTCCCTTTTCCCTAGCTGTCCTACTCCCTCTTATTGGTGGCCACACCCACTTGGGGGTCACCACAACATGGGGAACTGTATTATGGGGTCACGGCATTAGAAAGGTTGAGAACCACTGTTCTAGGCCCTGCTGCATATTTTTCCCTCTGTGACTTAATGGAGGCTTCCTGTGAAAGGAAATTTACAGACGCACAGGGCATTTAGCATTCAGCAGATGTAAAATTTCCTCCTTCAGGAATGAAGCTTCATGGTGGGTGCTGCTGGATGCAGCCCTGGCCGGCAGGAGTGAAGATGACCCTCCTATTGCGTCTCACCTTGGAAGCCACAGGAATATCTGATAAAAGTTTTGGGATGTACAGAGGTTTTGATCTCCACTGAGAGTGATCCCTAAGAAAGCACCAGAATCTTTATATCAGCTTTCTGCTAACTCGCGCCCAAGTGCCTGCCTGAGAATTTTGACCAAGGTGCCTGCCTGGGAATAATCTAACTCTACGGGAAATTGGGACGCCTACTGAGAGCAATTCTGCCATCTAACGAGATCTAGGCTCTGCAAGAACGAAGAGAAAAAGATATTACAGGTAGTCCTTGACATAAAACCACAACTGACCCCAAAAATTCCAATGCTAAGCAAGATAGCTGTTAAGTGAGTTTTGCCCCATTTTACGCTTTTCGCATAGTTGTTAAGTGAATCTGGCTTCCCCATTAGTTTTGCTTGGCAGAAGATTGCAAAAGGTGGTCACATGACCCTACAACTGTCATAAATACATGGCAGCTGCCAAACATCTGAATTTTATCACATGACTAGGGGGATGCTGCAACAGTTGTTAAGAATGAAAAACAGTCATAGGTCACGTTTTTCATGGCCATTGTAACTTCAAGTGGTCACTAAACAAATAGTGGTACGTCGAGGACGACCTGTATCTCCTGACTAGATATGGATGGGGACCAATACGGTACCCTGCTTCCAGGTTTGTACCATATTTTATTATTCTATTTACAGGATGAAGTTGGCAATCATTTAGGGCAGAGGTGTCAAACAGCATTGTGGTTGCCCTCGGGGGTGTGTGGCCTACTGGGTGAGCGTGACCAGCTCTACATAATTCATGTCAAGGGTGCCTAGGGTGGCCTGGGCAGGAGTGGGACAGATCTGAGGGTCTCTGGCAAAAAGGGGAGGGACCAGGGTAGAGCCCATCAAGCCGAATATGTGAAGTAGGCGAGGGCTATTTGCTGGTTACTTCCAGGCGATGGTGCATTTTTTCATTCCTCACAAAGG